AAAAAAAAAACAAAAAAAGAATAAAACTGGATGGAGTTCTAGGCTATAGTGAGCTCCACTGTACTCCAGCCTAGATAGCAGAGTGAGACCCTGCCTCTTATAAATGAATGAATGAAAATGAATAAATAAATATCTGGTATGAATCTGTGGTGGACGCTACGGGTGGTCCCATGATCCTGGCCTCTTGTTATCATGCCTTGTGTAACCCCTTCCCCCCTTGAGGGAGGGTGGGACTAACTGTCTTCTAACCAACAGAACACAGCAAAGGTGGCAGGATGGATGTGATTACATTACATAAGACTGTAACTGTCAGTTTTGCTAGGCAGGCTCTTACCAGCTCTGAAAAAGCAAGTTACCATTTCGAGACCAGCCTGAGCAAGAGCGAGACCCCGTCTCTACTAAAAACAAAAAATAGAAAGAAATTAGCTGGATAACTAAAAATACATATAGAAAAACTTAGCCGGGCGTGGTGGCGCATGCCTGCAGTCCCAGCTACTCGGAAGGCTGAGGCAGTAGGAGTGCTTGAGCCTAGGAGGAGTTTGAGGTTGCTGTGAGCTAGGCTGATGCCACGGCACTCTAGCCTGGGCGACAGAGTTGAGACTGTCTCAAAAAAAAAAAAAATAGCAAGTTACCATACTATAGGTTGCCTATGGAGAGGACCACATGATAGGAACTGAGGGCAGCCTCTAGCCAAGAGCCAGAGAAACTGAGGACCTCAGTCTGAAAGCCAGCAAGAAACTGAACTGTGAGCTTGGAAGAGAACACTTTTCCACTCAAGCCTCAGATGAGACCCCAGCCCTGGCTGACACCCAGATTGTAGCCTTGCAGAGGACCCAGCCATGCCCAGGCTCCTGACTCACAGAAACTGCATGACAATAAATAAATGTGTTGTTTTAAGCCAGTACGTCTGTAGTAATAGTGTTATGCAGCAATAGTTAATACAGAAACCTTATGAAAATTCCACTATTTTTCTGAATCCAAGAACACCCGAGAGAAAGCAATATGATATTTTTTTCCACGGTCTTCTCAATAACCTTAACAAAAACCAAGATTTTAATAGGATATTTTAGAAGAATGACAAAAGAGTTCACATGAGATGGGCTGATTGCCATAAATAAATTTTTCATCAGAGATTCATGCTACAGTGATAGCTACCAGAGGCATTATTCTTACCAGTTTTCAAAGGGAAGCATATTTCTACCTGTCATGTGCACATTGCTCTATTTTAAAAAATATATGGAATAATATATGATTTTGGGTATGGGCTATTCACCTAGCAAGTAACAGTGTTTTTAGGAGGTACAGAGGGGATATTAAAGAATAGCGTTTAAATATTTATCTTTCTTTAAAACATCATGAATCACTAGGTAGACAGACCACAACCAAAACTTCTTACCAATTTATTAGTGACTTCTATTATATTAAGGCATATAAGCAACAGAAGATTGAGTGTGAACAGAACAAAATGTTAAGGGCTACTATAACTTAATCAAGAAACCATAAGAGCTTTTGTGCTAATAGTTGGCAACACTCAATTATTTCATCTCAATTTAATTATTCCATTATATCTCATTCACTTATAACTTACTTTGTAGGAAAAGAAACAAAACACAAATTATTGGTCCAGATTCATAAATTTAAAATAAAAACTGCTTTGCCAGTTGCAAAAAAAACCTCTGATGTTACAATCATTTCAGCGACATTTGTGAGCATGTCACTGCTTTTACTGTTACATCAATAAACACATCCACACTGATCCACTGATCTTTGCCATCTAAGAGTTTTATACATTTCTATGGCAGATACAGTCAAAAACACTTCTCTTGTTCACCGCATACAATAGCAGATACTACGTATAGGTTCAGTGACCTGAGAGCCAAGGTTGAAGCACGAGGCACTGTGAAAGAGCCCATCTATTTTGAGGATACTAAAATACCTGATCCAGATTCTAAGGGACTGTTTGACAGAGATGCCTGGAACAAGGGAGAGTATTACATTTTTAAAGCAATACAGGTTAAGGAAACATGAAATTTAGTGAGAAGCTCAGTCAGCACTGAATGAGAGTAAAGGGCGCAGGAGCTGGGCTTCATTTTTCTGCAGGCATGGAGCTTTACATACTGTAAAGTTCTATGGAGCATTTTTTTTTTTTTTTTTTTTTTTTTTGAGACAGAGTCTCACTCTCTTGCCTGGGCTAGAATGCCGTGGTGTCAGCCTAGCTCACAGCAACCTCAAACTCCTGGGCTTAAGCAATCCTCATGCCTCAGCCTCCCGGATAGCTGGGACTACAGGAACACGCCACCGTGCCTAGTTAATTTTTTTCTATTTTAGTTGTTTGGCTAACATCTTTCTATTTATAGTAGAGACGGGGTCTCGCTCTTGTTCAGGCCGGTCTCGAACTCCTGAGCTCAAGCAATCCTCCCGCCTCGGCCTCCCAGAGTGCTAGGATTACAGGTGTGAGCCACAACACCCAGCCTATGGAGTAATTTTGATACATACATTTCATTTTCAATTCTTAGCCTTAAGAATTAACATTCAAGGTAACAAAAGATAGGTTCATAAAAATTACTTACTCTTTGTACTCTCTCCCCAATTCTCAGAATCCGTTAAATCATCTGAATGCATAGCAGACATAATTTTCTGAGCAACACTGGAGAGCGGAATCTTAGAGAGATCAAAGCTTACAAATGCCTCATAATTTTCCATTTTCATAAAATCCTAAATGTAAGAGCAACATAAATACCCACATATTAATTTTGAGACTTCAAAACAAGAAACAATTATTTGAAAAATTTATGTACTGAGACTTTCACTTAACAAGTCTATATTAATAACCACAGGAAATAGGTATCAATTATCCCATAATACAGACAGGATAGCAAGAAGAAAGCAAAATAGCTAGAGGCTCAACTGGAGTACCACGGTAAACAGAGAACTTATTTTCCAATTAATAATTCTGAAGCGAGCAATCTACTTAAATATTTCCAGGGGTTTGAAAAATGGCTGGTATTAAATCTTCAAATACATGAATTTAATAACACAACAATAACGGACTTGGCTAATTGTGGCAGATACACAACTACCATCCTTACATTGCTCAGCCCTACTGGCCCGTGGGCTGAGCAGGTGAAAGTCTGGGTGGGGACAATAAAAATCATCAAGCATCTGGTCACACATATCTGGCACTAACTTACACAGAATATACTACCATAAACCTGAAAATCAAGTGACATATTTTTCCACATTATTGGAGAAAAGTAAATTTAAAGCGAATTTTCTATCCCAAGATAGAATAGGGAAAAAAATAAATTAAAAATGTCACTCAAGTGAGAAGATTCTGATAGTAAAACCTTAGACAAAATTTATTGCTACAAATTTTTCAAGTATATTAAGGTTTACTTCATAAATTTTTAAGTAACACACAAATATAATTGCCAAAACATTTTTGTTTAATGGATTACAAAAACCAACAGGGCTCATATGTCACCTAAGCATGCTTATTTTCTGATGGTTATAGACGAAAAATTCCATAAACATAATCTGTGTTGTGTTTAGATTGGCATTCCATATTACAGGCAGATAAGGAATGTTCTTCAATATCTCTATAAAGCTCACATGATATTTGCCACACACCATGTATAAACTGGGTACTCAAGAAGCATCTGATGTAATAAATGATAAGCTACCTCAAATTATTTTATACCAACTCTTCAAATAATTTCTAATTGTCCACTTACTACTCTAATATCTCACATTAAATACAATCCAACATTTAGTATTTCTGCTAAGAAACTGGTTAAAAAATAACATACATCCTTTGAGCAACCACTTTTACAGAATTTTGAAACACAAATTTCAAATTTCATTTGAAAGTCATCTATCATTGTAAGACACACTAAAGTCAAAGTACTACTGAGATCTGTCTTGTAGAAACTTTGAGTCCCCAGAACCCAGCCTCTAAAATGAATCACAGTCAGCGGAATCCTAATACTCTTGGTGGTGCAAGTAGGAACATTCAAACTGTCTCAAAGTCCATAGCAGGGAATTATGGGGAAATACAGTTTGAGCAGAATTTTACTTCACAGTCAAATATGAGGGGACCTGGTGATTTTGTATGTTAAGGTCTACAGATTTTAAAATGCCACAAATTTTTAAAATATTCAACAGCAGAAAATTTCTATTTCTAAAAATATGGCAGAGGAGATTAACTGTATTAAAAAATACTTGCATTATATAATAATGCAATAATAATGCTTTTTCCCTATAAGTAAAAAATTACCAGGACTAAGTGCCACTAAGCAAGTGTTCAAGTCATAAGCAGCACTGGTACTTTGAACCAACATGTTATATAAAGGAAAAAAACAAACTGATAAAATACTTGAATTCATTAAATGAAATATTCCATTGGTCTCAAATTTAAAAATTTAGCAGTGTTTATTAGATATATTCTATTCCTATGTATACAATATATGGCATATACATAGTAAAGATTCAGTTTTTAGGAATTTTCAATCTTCAAGACCAATAGGCTTAATCTTTGACTGGGTTTCTAAATTCTCCACAATGTCTTTCAGATAATCTTCATCTTTTAAAAAATATACATATAATTCTCTCTCCATTTGATGTAATTTATTAGTTGCCAAAATTTTTCTTTTTGTCTTCACATCAGCCAGAATATCAGTAAGGAGATGATTTAGCTTATTCAGTTGAGATTCAATTTGATGAAACTGCTCTGTTAACTCCTAAAAGAGGAAAATAAAAATGCTTTTAATTCAAGAAATTTATTCCTAACACTAATCATAAATTTAAAATGTAATTGACATGGAAAGACTCAAAATGACTTAATAACTTCCCAAAATTTTAGCAATACACCTCAATTAAAAATCCATAAT